TATGCTGACAGCTTCAGGCTACTACAACTTGTTTAACCACTTGCCTACCGGGCACTTGTACCCCCTTCTGCCAGGCCAATTTTCAGCTTTCAGCGCTGTCACTTTTGAATGACAATGCGCAGTCATGCAACATTGTACCCATATGAAATTTTTATCATTTGTTTCACACACATAGAGCTTTCATTTGGCAATATTTACTCACCGCTGGGTGTTTTATTTTTTGTGCTATAAACAAAAAAAGAGCAAATAATTTTGAAGAAAAAAGGGTTTTTCTTTTTTTTCTATTATAAAATTTAGCAAACAGGTAATTTTTCTCTTCACTGATGTGCATTGATGAGGCTGCACTGATAGGTGGCAATGATAGGCAGCACTGATGGGCACTGATAGGCGACGCTGATAGGTGGCACTGATGAGGTGGCATGGATAAGCAGCACTGATAGGTGGCACAGATAGGCGACATTGATGAGCTGGCACTGATGAGGCGGCACTGATGATGCTGCACTGATATTCAACAATGATGGGCACTGATAGGCAGCACTGATGGGCACTGATAGGCAGCACTGATGGGCAGCACTGATGGGTGGCACTGACTGGCGACACTGCTGGGCACTGACTGGCGGCACAGCTGGGCACTGATGGGTGGCACTGCTGGGCAGCACTGATGGGCAGCACTGATCGGTGGTACTGCTGGGCACAGGTGGGTGGCACTACTAGGCACTGATGGGCACAGGTGGGTGGCACTGCTGGGCACTTGTGGGTAGCACTGCTGGGCACAGGTGGGTGGCACTGGTGGGTGGCACTGCTGGACACTGATCATTAGGGCACTGATCATCAGTGCCCTGATGATCAGTGCTGCTCCGCCCTCTGACAATTGCCAGTTATCGGCAGTATTTTCCTCACTCTTTGACAGCTGTAACCGGCAACTGCATTTACCGCTGATCTGCTGTATCATTGGGCATGGCTAATCACGTGGTAAAAGGCTGCTGTGATTGGCCTTTTACCACATCACGTGATCAGCTGTGTCCATAGGAGGACGCATTCTGGGAGGATGTCATATGACACCCTACCAGAACTGTCCGGCCACGGTGAAGCCATCATTTGGCTATCTGTGGTTGGCAAGTGGTAACTATGTGATTTATTATCTTCTTCTGTCCTCTCCTGCTGTTTAGTGCTAATTAATTTAGTTTTAGCTGGACCTTTCCAGTTTCTTCCATGTTCTCTCTACTTCACGGAGACAGCACTTAGGAAAGTCATTATCTTCGTACACTTCAAAGACTGGAAACCATGATCTGTTCTGCAATTATCTGAAGTAATATGGCATTAAATTAAACTTCTGTGTTTAAAGCCGGCCATAGATGGATCGAATCTCAGCCGGTTCAACACTAGCCTTCAGTACAAATAACATGTTGGATTTCTTTAATGTGATCACTGCTGGTGGCTATAGCCAGCAGGTAAGGCTCCCTGTGCTCCCCGCCGGCAGAACACAGTAGTACTACTGAGGGATTCCCCCATCAACACTGTGTTGATGCCTGAATCAAGCAAATTTCTTTCCTTCCACCACGGGTGGTAAAAAAATTACATAACCCATGGGCTTCTTTATTGAAGAGTTAAGGTGTTTATGGATCCTGCCATATCAGCAGGTGGCAATACTATATAGACAGCCTGGGTCTATGAAGGTATTTGAATGCATAAAATGGCATTGAAACAGAACAGCTATGGACTTCATATACTGCAGGACTTGACAAATTTGCTTTAAATCTATGGACCAGCTAAAAAAAAGTTAGGAGCCAGTTTTTTTAGCATAGCGTGGGTTGTCAGCGCCCGGGGGAAGGCAACTTTTGGTTGACAAGCTTCAGGCAATGCAATTTCACAACAATCATGGCAAAACCGCACCATGTTCTAGGCGCCATTGAAAATAATGGCACCTGTAAATGTATTCTGCAATTCTGCAGCGATCCCAAAATGCCCAGGGTGTGAATGGAGCCGCCCTGGTTCACATATATGCAATTCTGGATGCATTTTCAAACTCACAGATTCACATGACAGGCTAGATATTATGTGTTTCTGTTCAGATGGTTCACACAGATGTAATCCACATGCATTGCGTTTTGAGTGCCATTATGAAAAGGGCCCTGTGGGAGTTTGTATCAAGTGCGTTCCAGACTTGCAAGTGATAGATTACAGTGGCATCTAGGTAAGTGTTCACATAGGATTGCTATTGACAGGAGTTTCTGCATTGAAGTCAATGGGAGGCATTTCTGCATTGAAGTCAATAGGTGGCGTTTTTGCATTGAAGTCAATGGGAGGCATTTTTGCATTGAAGTCAATGGGAGGCATTTTTGCATTGAAGTCAATGGGAGACGTTTTTGCATTAACCTCTTCACACTGAGCATATGCAAATATGCAGCCTCTTGGCAACTGGGCCTTGATGCCGAGGGGCCGCAAATGTGCGTACCATTTGTAAACAAACATGTGCTGCTCCCAGCACATATCAGTGTCCCATGGAAAGGTCCCGATCTCTGCTTGCAATCTGGACCTTTCCGATCATGTGACTGCCGTGACATGACCCTAAACCCTGACCCGCCTCTCGGTGTCAGAAACCCTTAAAGGGCCTGGAGGCGTTGGCACGAAGGGGTTTAAGTCAATGGGAGGTGATTTTGCATTGAAGATAATAAGATCCATTTTTGCATTGAAGTCAATGGGAAGCTTTTTTGCATTAAAGTCAATGGTACGCGATTTTGCATTAACGTCAATGGGACGTGATTTTGCACTGAAGTCATTGGAATGTGATTTTGCATTGGGTGTCAATGGGAGGCAGTTGTGGAGAGAGAGAGAGAGAGAGAGAGAGACAGCAAGATCGCACCTGTACCGAAATTGCACAGAAACTGCAATTACATTGCGATTTCAGTACACATATGTGTGAACCTAAGCACCATGATGCAATTTCTAGTCACCATGGTGACCTGTCTCCTGGGATTTGTCAAGCCGTGATTTACTGTATATAATAAGAGCAAAATAGCACTTGTTCCCCTCAGGGGTTAAATATTAGCCAGAAAATAGCACTTGCAGGATCATGTCTTGGTGTATTAACAGCCCAGAACAAAAGTACAGAGAGATCCCATAGTGCTATCCTTAAGCTAACAACGTTATTGAAATAAAGATGAAACCACTCACACATCAATCACATGTACAAGTGATCTCCGGTTGTGCACACCAAAGACAGCACTGGCAGTAATCAATGCCCCTGTCTAGCAGATCCTAGTGCATGCCAAGCTCCTCCCCATATGATGATGTCAACTAGATAAAGTCCTACACATTGGTGGAGATTTACTAAAACTGGAGCATTTCGAATCTGGTGCAGCTGTGAATGGCAGCCAATCAGCTTCTAACTTCAGCTTGTCCAATTAAGCTTTGACAATAAAACCTGGAAGCTGATTGGCTACAATGCAGAGTTGCACCAGATTTTGCACTCTCCAGTATGTGTCCATTGACTTCTTCAGGGCATGTATGCTTTGCATTGCCCTGGTTTTTGATGGGTTTACATAAAGTTGCAGTTCTCTCAAAAACAGGAGAATATGAAAAATAATTTAGTACGGAGTTCCGGAGCAGGGGGAACACACATGAGAAGGGATTTATTTTCTGTATTTTTAAGTTATCAACATACAACACAGCGACTGTACGGAGTACATGGAACCATTAGTGTCAGTCCTTTCCCTGAAGACATCTAACAGTCTAGTGTCTCCAACAAAGCCAAACCAAATAAGCACATGGATACACCACAGGACCAGTTTTGTCAGATGCCATTAACAATCATATATAGATCACTCAACCAGTAACAGTTGGATAGCCTGATCTGATCTGGGGGTGCAGTAAAGAAGAGTCAGGGGGCACAATGTCAACGCTGTGTGAGTCACTGACAGTCTGTCACACAGAGTCACGACCTGGGAAACACTAGTATGTATTAGGCTGTCCTTAGATTAGGGTGATAAAACAGAATGTGTGCCCTGCCCCCTTATTAGGTGTCCTTATCAGAGTCCTCCTTTACATCAGGAGTCCTCATCAGAGTCTCCACCAGAGAGCCCCCCCTTACAACATGGTCCCCATCGGAGTACCAGCTTACATCATGGTCCCCATCGGAGTACCACCTTACATCATGGTCCCCATCGGAGTACCACCTTACATCAGGGTCCCGATCAGAGTACCCCATTACATCACGTGTCCCCAACAGAGTTCCTCCTTACATCAGGGTCCACATCAGAGTACCCCCTTATGCCAGAGTCCCCATCAGAGTGTCTCCTTTCATCAGGGTCCCAATCAGGGTACACCCTTACATCATGTGTCCCCATCAGAGTCCCCCCTTACATCAACTGTCCCCATTGAAATGCCTCTTAAAACTAATGTCCCATCAGAGTGCCCCCTTGCATCCAGTGTCCCCAACAGAGTGCCCCTTTACATTACGTGTCCCCATCAATGTAACCCTTACATTAACTGTTCCCATTAAAGTACCCCCTAACATATTATCAGTTACCCAATCAGAGTGCCCGTTACATCAGATGTCCAAATAAGAGTGCCCCTTTACATCAGGTATCCCCAAACACAGTGATCCCTTACATGGATTTCCCCAATCAGAGTGCCCCCTCCCTTACTTCAAGTAAGTCCCATCACAGTGCCCCCTTACATGGACTGTCCCAATCAGAGTGCTCCGTACATTAACTGTCTGTATCAGCATGCTCTCTTACATCAATTGCCACCATAAGGCTAGCTCATAGATGCACTGTCAGAGATTGGGGGGGGCACAACCCACCCCAGCACCCCCCAAGATCTGCCCCAGCACCCCCCTAGATCTGGCCCTGATGGATATATAGGTACTCAACTATAACGGTGAAGATGAGGATGGAACCAAAAGCTCTACACAGATGTTATGAAGGCGAACATTTCCTTTAAGTGCTTAGTACTGCGAGGTCTATTTTCTAATCCACTTCTCATTCTCAAATTTCCAGCTGCTGACACAACCCCATTTGGTACCCAAGCTGAAGTGACACTGAAGACCAACTTCTTTGCCACAAGAGATGTTTGCCACGAGCTGCTGCCACTTATTAAACCAAATGGTAAGTTATATGCTATCTCGTCAGGTTGTAGAGGTGTGTAGATGGCAGCAGGCAAGCCAAGATGTCGGAAGACTCTGTGTCCGAATTTAGTGTATTCGATATGACCAGACATGTTAACCACTTGCCTACCGGGCACTTATACCCCCTTATTTACCAGGCCAATTTTCAGCTTTCAGCACTGTCGCACTTTGAATGACAATTGCGCGGTCATTCAAGATTGTACCCATATGAAATTTTTATCATTTTTTTCTCACAAATAGTGCTTTCTTCTGGTGGTATTTCATCGCTGCTGGGCACTTTACTTTTTGTGCTATAAGCAAAAAAAATTGCAAAAAATTTTGAAAAAAAAAAAAAGTTTTTTGTTTCTATTATAAAATTTTTCAAACAGGTAATTTTTCTCCTTCACTGATGTGCGTTGATGAGGCAGCACTGATGGACACTGATAGGCGGCACTGATGGGCACTGATAGGTAGCACTGAAGGGCACTGATAGGCGGCACTGATAGGTGGCACTAATGAGGTGGCACGGATAGGCGGCACTGATAGGCAGCACTAAGGAGGTGTCACGGATAGGTGGCACTGATATGCGGCACTGATTGGTGGCACTGATAGGCGACACTGATAATGGGTACTGATAGACAGCACTGATAGATAGCACTGACTGACATCACTGCTGGGCACTGACTGGTGGCACTGACTGGCAACACTGCTGGGCTGCACTGATGGGCACTGGTGGGTGGGCACAGGTGGGTGGCACTACTGGGCACAGGTAGGTGGCACTTCTGACTGGCGGCACTGCTGGGCACTGACTGGCACAACCGCTGGGCACTGACTGGTGGCACTGACTGGCAGCACTGCTGGGCTGCACTGATGGGCACTGGTGGGTGGCACTGGTGGGCACAGGTGGGTGGGCACAGGTGGGTGGCACTACTGGGCACAGGTAGGTGGCACTTCTGGGCACAGGTGGTGACACTGCTGGGTGACACAGGTGGGTGCATTGCTGGGCACAGGTGGGCGCACTGGGCACAGGTGGGTGCATTGCTGGGCACAGGTGGGTGCACTGCTGGGCACAGGTGGGCGGAACTTGTGTGTGGCACTGCTGGGCACCGATCATCAGGGCACTGATGATCAGTGACCCTGATGATCGGTGCCGATCCCCGCTCTGGCAACTGCCGGTTTTCGGCAGTACTTTCCTCACGATCTGACAGCGTGAGGAAAGTGCAGCCGAGAACCGGCATTTGCATTTTCCCGGTGATCAGCATGTCATTGGACACGGCTGATCACGTGGTAAATGGCCGCTGTGATTGGCCTTTTACCACGTCACGTAATCAGCTGTGTCCGTAGGACACAGCGATCACGGAGATCGCCGGCTATCTGCGGTCGGCAATTAGTTAACTAGCAAAACAGAACTTGGATTCCAGGTTATGTGCAAGGTAGCCCACAAATAATGATGTTACTTCCACACCTCCCATCTTATGCAATGTATGCCATGACACATTTTATAGTGATTTGATTTAGGCGTTTGCATTTACCATGTAATTATTAATGGTGGGGTAGATATATGACAATCATCAGAGCAGAGAAGGCTACTAAGACGAGTAACAAAACATTATGTAGCAAGTTCACTAGTATACCTTTATTATTAAAGTAGAACTATAGGCAAAACGTTTTCTTTTATTTTTTTTTGGATAGAACGAGAAGATTTTTTTTGCCATGTGTCCCATTGTGGAGATTACCCCATAGCCAAACAGGAAGTGAGAGGAAATCCCGATAAATTAAGGGAATCCCTTGGGGCCCCCAGATCACCAGAACTAGTGTCCTCATTGGAAGATTTCCTTTCTATTACTTTTCTGGGGACAACCCAAAATTTGGCATTCTCTTTTACTTTCAGTGTTAATGGAAAACAGGGCAAATAGAGAGGGTGAATCTCTCTAATGGGGGCACAGACAGCAATAAAAACTGACAGGGGTTCTAATCCTTCTCCACTCTATCCAAAACTAAAATAAATTGCCTTTAGTTATACTATAACATTATTATACAAGATTTTTTTATAGTGTCAACAGTTTGTACAGTACTTAACAAAAGAAAGGGCGACAGTGAAGTTACAATACAATTTATTACTAGGGGGTTAAAAGGGCTCTGGTCAAGAGAGCTTAAAATCTAAAAGTAGAGGCAAGTGATAGAAAAAGGTAAAAATTGCGGGGGATAAGTTGATGGAGAAATTTAGATAGAGGAGGGATAGGCTTCTCTTAAGAGATGAGTTTTCAGGGATCGCCTGATGGTGGACAAAGTAGGAGAGAGTCAGATGGACTAATGTAGGAAGTGCTAGAGGGAGGGAGAGGCTCTGGAGAAGTCCTGGATACAAACATGGGAGGAGGTGACAAGAGAGCTAGAGGGCAGGAGGTCTTGTGTGGTGCGAAGAGGATGGTCTGGGTGATATTTTGAGATGAGGATGATGATACCATGACTTGAATAAATGAGAACCTTAAGAGACACAATGTAAGAATGTTTTATAGTAAAACATTTCAAATATACCCACAGTAGGAGTAATGGTGAGCAAATTATATATAACCAGATAAGCAATGAAACTATCAAGAATAATCACAATGGGGCAAATACAGAAGCAAACAAGAATAAATTATATACATGCCATACAGAGCCTAGAATAGGATACTGGGCAGGAACCAGACTGGCAGGGCTAAGGGTAGAACAGGCTGGGCACAGGATCACAAAAAGAACCAGAGACCACATTGTCCCACAGTGGTGGGATTGTATGCAGGGGGCTAATATCCGATGGGCATATGCTGTGGACAATTGTCTTCTGGTGGCCACTGGAACCACAAACTGCCCGTTGCTGGGGCTCAGTGTCATCAGCAAGTTAAAGAGAACAGCAGGATTGTGATATGATTACTGTATGTCTTGTAGGAATTGACCCAAATTACAGTAAACCTGATCTGGCCTTAAATGTGCCCAGTGTAACAACAGTACTGATCTACTGCAATTTGTGGTGCCTCAGGGTACCTTTCATAGGGCTCATTTGCACTTTCTTTGACTTTAACACACATTAAAGTGTCTACCACTTCAACATGCTTTTTTGATGTGTTTTTGATACTTCTGTGATGCTTTGGTGATGCTTTTTTGAAGTTTTAATGAAACTTGGCAGATGCCCTGTGTGTGTGTTGTTTTTCTATTTGTTATAAATGGGCTCAGTAGAACCCCAGCTCATTAGTACCCCCACCCAGCAGATCCCCAGCTCATTAGTACCCCTGTTCAGTGATACCCAGTGTATTAGTGCCCTTGTTCAGTAGATCCCCAGTGTATTAGTACCCTTGTTCAGCAGATCCCCTACTCAGTAGTACCCCCAGTTCTTTTGATCCCCTACTCAGTAGTACCCCTAGTTCTTTTGATCCCCTGCTCAGTAGTACCCCCAGCTCTGTTGATCTACTGCTCAGTAGTAACCCCCAGCTCTGCTAATCCCTCACCCAGCAGTAACCCCCAGCTCTGCTGATCCTCTGGTTTACTGATCCTCCCATTCTCCAATCCCAGCTCACTTTCCGCTATATTGCTTCCAAGTTGCTCACCACATGTGACATCTTCTAGTTTCCCCTGCTCAGGTCCCCCAGCTCTGCTGATTCTCTGCTGCTCAGTTCTCTCTCTCTCCAATCCCCGCTCACCTTCTGCTATAGCATCCCATGTTGTACACCACATGTGCCATCTGCTAATTGGTCCTCTCCAGTCTGGACCCTCACCTTCCTGCTACTCCACGCTGCACACCAGATGTGATATCTTCACCAGACACTTCCAGAATATATACACGTGAACTGAAAGTAACATCTTTCTTGTGTTGATTGTTGGTTTGCAGTGCATCCTAAGATAATTGCAATCTGCAATAACTTCAAAACAAAGCAAAGCTAAAGCTGAATGAAAGTCCCTCAAAAGCTTCAGGTGCTGTAAGTGAGCATTGTTATAGACCTCCATGGAGGCTTTGGAGTCACTTTGAAAAGTGACATGGGGTATACATTTTTAAATGAAGAAAAGCAAATACAACATTTGAACAGGACTGTAAGGTAACCATTTTATTTAGTGTTTCTAATAGTATTTTTTCCCCAAAAAGTGACAGTCTTACTGCTGGTGTCAAACCCCACCTGATATCATTTAACAGTGGAATATCAAGGCCCAGTTCTTAATCCTGGCTAGGGGAGTGTAATTTCAACATTTATAGTCCCTGTGCGCCTAAGTTAGCTAGCTCCTTAAATATGTAGGCAAGTTTGGTCTCAGTGGTTTCTAAATTGTTCATTAATTTGCCCTTGTGTAGATTAAAGCTGAACTCTGGGATTGTAAAAAAAAAACACCCTTGCAGTGGGGTCTTCCCGAACTGCAAGAATTAGATGCTCGATATTTGTAAAGGTATCTGAAAAAGCTGTATTACGTGCCTTACTGCCTACTCTGGCCAGCTTTTCTTGATGGTGCCCCAGGCTGTTAGCATCATCATGTACAGTGCAGGGATATTGATCCCGCTTGTATGCAGAGGAGGCAAGCATGCGACCATGGTTGAGAGCACCTTAGAGAGGCAGCAGTGCTGGATACATGGATAATGAATAAAGCGAGCGCTCAGAAAAACCAGCTGCTGGAACACTTCAAGGGATCACTAAACCTCATAATGAAGACAATATAAACATATAGTGCAGCGCTGAAAAAGTGATAAATTGAAATGTATAAAATATATATATAAAAGTCTTTCTCATGATAATATAGTCGAATATGTGCAGGTCTTCTCTCTCATTAGGTGACTGGAAAATAACAAGATTGCGCACTCACCGACCGCACATTTAAAATGCGCCTGTGTATGATATATTCCAAAAGACCAGCCAGGTATACAGCTCCAGAGACCACACGGATCCTCCCTCTCCAACACTCTCGTCCGCCTTGGGTGTAGCAATATCTCCAGATCCAAAGGTAGAAAGACAAAGATCCCCCTTTTTTTGGTTCCAGACACCCCAAGAATGGAAGATGTATATCTGCACTTTTGGAGTTTCACTAGTCAAGAATATTTTGCTATGCAACTTCAGTCCTTTGGATGAATGGTCTATGATGTTCAATATAAATGGCAAAAAAGGCTTTCACGGTGAAAATAAAAAAAAAAATCATATTTTATGATTTTATCACATCCCCAACCTCTTCTGTTCCATATTCTTCCACAGTGAAGGAGTGGACTTTATCACCCGCCCTGATTGTATATTCTCCCAGTGGAGGCTCAGAGGAGAGAGGAAGAGAAAACTCAGCAATTCTTTGATTGGTATTCACGTTCAGCCACTGACGAATTCGGTTTTTTCCTGGATCCTGTAATTCTACCAGCGCAATTATTCTGTTTTCTGGTTGGTAATCTTCATTGATGGCCAGAATTCTAAAGTGAACTATTTGTCCTGGTTTGTACACCGCTTTGTCTGTCTGGATGAGAAGCCCAGATTTTGCCTTCTTTAGGAGGACTTTTGCAAAAGTCCTCCTAAAGAAGGCAAAATCTGGGCTTCTCATCCAGACAGACAAAGCGGTGTACAAACCAGGACAAATAGTTCACTTTAGAATTCTGGCCATCAATGAAGATTACCAACCAGAAAACAGAATAATTGCGCTGGTAGAATTACAGGATCCAGGAAAAAAACCGAATTCGTCAGTGGCTGAACGTGAATACCAATCAAAGAATTGCTGAGTTTTCTCTTCCTCTCTCCTCTGAGCCTCCACTGGGAGAATATACAATCAGGGCGGGTGATAAAGTCCACTCCTTCACTGTGGAAGAATATGGAACAGAAGAGGTTGGGGATGTGATAAAATCATAAAATATGATTTTTTTTTTTTATTTTCACCGTGAAAGCCTTTTTTGCCATTTATATTGAACATCATAGACCATTCATCCAAAGGACTGAAGTTGCATAGCAAAATATTCTTGACTAGTGAAACTCCAAAAGTGCAGATATACATCTTCCATTCTTGGGGTGTCTGGAACCAAAAAAAGGGGGATCTTTGTCTTTCTACCTTTGGATCTGGAGATATTGCTACACCCAAGGCGGACGAGAGTGTTGGAGAGGGAGGATCCGTGTGGTCTCTGGAGCTGTATACCTGGCTGGTCTTTTGGAATATATCATACACAGGCGCATTTTAAATGTGCGGTCGGTGAGTGCGCAATCTTGTTATTTTCCAGTCACCTAATGAGGAGAAGACCTGCACATATTCGACTATATTATCATGAGAAAGACTTTTATATATATATTTTATACATTTCAATTTATCACTTTTTCAGCGCTGCACTATATGTTTATAGTGCTGGATACATGAATGGAGAAAGTCTGTTGGAGTCAGGAATAAGGTAAATATTACTCCCTATTCCTGTACCCCATAGACTTAACAAGCATCTAACCCTTGCAGTGGGGGCCACAACTGCAAGGGTGTTTTTTTCCAGCTGGAGTTTAGCTTTAAAACTGATTGTGTTATCTAAAAACCTTGTTTTCATTACCAGTCAAAGACTTTTGTTCTGTTTCAGGGCGAGTTGTCAATGTTTCCAGCATGATGAGTTCTATGTCTCTTGCAAAGTGCAGCCCTGAACTGCAGGAAAAATTCCGCAGTGACATCATCACTGAGGAAGAGTTAGTGAAACTGATGGAGAAGTTTGTGGAAGATGCCAAGAAGGGAATCCACAAAGACCAAGGATGGGCAGACAGTGCTTATGGGACATCCAAAATAGGAGTAACTGTGTTATCCAGGATCCAAGCTCGACAGCTTAAAGAGACCCGGAAAGGAGAGGGCATCGTCCTGAATGCCTGCTGTCCGGGTTGGGTGAGGACTGATATGGCTGGTCCCAAGGCTCCCAAGTCTCCAGATGAAGGAGCCGAGACCCCAACCTATTTAGCTCTTCTACCTCTTGATTCAGCTTCACCATATGGGGAGCTGGTTAGCGAGAAGAAAATTGTAACTTGGTGACAATGATGGACAATGCTAAAGTAACTCTATGTAACATAGTGATGGGACTTATTAATAATAAATACTTGTTGGGTTCCAGTTATCATTGTTTAGAGAAAGTTAGAAGATGTCCTGTCTATTGTCACTCACATAGCCTCTAATTTGTGAAATTGTGGAACATACGTAATCTAGTGAAAATTGATGAAACCTTTTTTTATCTGCAATAAACTTTGATCTAGTAAACATCTCATCTTATTCTCAGTGTTTCTTGTAATACAAAGTTAAGCAGGGTAATAACCTCACAACAGGATGTTGAAACCACACCAGAACACCTTGACCACATGAAGGATTGCCGTGCACCAGGAGGAACCCAGGACCCACTGCACCAGCGTAGGGTCTGACAATGGGTCCAAGGATTTCAACCCAATACCTAATGGCAGTCAGGGTGCCATTGTCTAGCCTGCAGAGGTCTGTGCGTCCCTCCATGGATATGCCTCCCCAGACCATTACTGATCCACCACCAAAATGGTCATACTGAGCGATGTTACAATCAGCATAACGTTCTCTATGGCTTCTGCAGACCCTTTCACGTCTGTCACATGTGCTCAGGGTGAACCTGCTCTTATCTGTGAAAAGCACAGGGTGCCAGTGGCGGACCTGCCAATTCTGGTGTTTAATGACAAATGCCAATCCAGCTCTATGGTGCCGGGCAGTGAGCACAGGGCCCACTAGAGGACTTCTGGCCCTCAGGCCACCCTTATGAGTCTATTTCTGATTGTTTGGTCAGAAACATGCACACCAGTTGTCTGCTGGAGGTCATTTTGTAGGGCTCTGGCAGTGCTCATCCTGTTCCTCCTTGCACAAAGGAGCAGATACCGGTTATGCTGATGAGGACCGTAAGATTTTGGAACGCCAAAAGAATCAATTGTTTTGTTTTTAAAGTTCGTACACTTCAGTTGCTGTAACTAAGCCATTTCATGAAATAATTGGCAAAAAGCTAGACCCATTTGTTGTTTGTTGATAACAACTAATATTTTGACTCAAACCAAAAAAAAAAAGAGTTTTAAGTTCTTAATCAGATGATACACGCAATTAAAAACATGGGACAAATACATCCCTTGGTCCTCAAAGGGTTAAGGACCTTCTACGGCCCTGTCTAGTTCTCTTAGAAGAACTGCCTGTCTCCTGGAATCTCCTCCATGCTCTTGAAACTGTGTGCTGGGATCAGCAAACCTTCTGGCAATGACACGTATTGATGTGCTATCCTGGAGGAGTTGGACTGCCTGTGCAACCTCTGTAGGGTCCAGGTATCGCCTCATGCTATCAACAGTGACACTGACCCTAGCCAAATGCAAAACTAGTGAAAAAAAGTCAGAAAATATGAGTAGGGAAAAAAATGTCAGTGGCCTCCTCCGATAAAACTATTCCTGTTTTGGGGGTCTTCTCATTGTTGCCCATCTAGTGCACCTGTTGTTAATTTCATTAACACCAAAGTAGCTGAAACTGATTACCAACCCCCTCTGCTACTTAACTGACCAGGAGTTTAATTGACTTGATGCTATACTCTGGTTAAAAAGTCTTCCTTTAATTTTTTTGAGCAGTGTATTATATTTTTGTTCTTGGATTTAGATTTACTTAAAGGCATAATGGTTAGTGTTGCGCAGACTGTATCTTTAATTGATGCTAATAGTTATTGAACAGCTTCTGTTTACCATATAAAAAATGCCTATATCCCCTTTTATGAAACATGTTCTGGGTATGTACCAGGGGTGGACTGACAACTCATGGGTCCCCGGGCAATAGGAGATCATGGGGCCCCTGTGTCCTTGCCCAAACTCAAAAAAGCCTATGAAAAAGGTACCAGGGGCATCTCATGGGGCCCCCTACTGACCCCGGGCTCTCGGGCAGTGCCTTGAGTTTCCAAATGGTCATTCCGCCCCTGGTATGTACTGTAGTTCATATGTAACAAGCATACGATAGCAGGTGACCTTGGACTTTATTTTTAAATGTTTGCAATTACATCTTAGATGTCATATTGGTGTTATCTGTACAAAACCTCTTTCTACGGTCACATTTTTTGACATTCAAGATGCCTATAATTCCTGACGCTTTGTTTAACTAAAGGGCTGCAGATGTCAATAAATTCACTGTGAAACTAAGCTGATTAAAATGGAAAGAGATTATTTTTCATGATAAAAGTATAAAACAGCTTAGTCATGCTGACAACCAGCAACAAGTGTGATAGCACAGAGCAGTCCCAGGGTGAAGGCAGAACTTGTTTGCACTCACAGAGGCGTGCTGAGAAAACAGGATATTCAGTGTAGTGCATACTAATCAAAACAACCTAGTTCTATGGCAGGTTTTTAAAAATTAAAAACTGACCGTATACCCTAAAATTCTACCGTTTCTGCATGGTGGATTCAATTCAATGACATTTAGATGTTTAACAGACATAAAACGTTGACTATTGTGCTTGGTCAAAAAGAATAAATGCCCAGGAGCACTTCCAAAATGCAAAAGAGGTGATATGGTATTGTACATGCAGCATAGCACCTTATACTGAGAACTAAGCTGGCCATACATACCGTAATTAGAATTTTCATTGAAAAATTTCTATTTTTGAAACATTCATTTTTCTAAGACCTCATGCACACAGGGTGTTTTTGCAGTCACTTTTAGGGGAGACAGGTGTTTTTTTTTTTCCAGCTTCCAAACACCCCTCCATGTTATGCTGTGTCTATGCACACATAGAATTTTAGAAGCTTTTAGTGGCAGGGGCTTTTAGAAGATGTAATAAAAACGCCACTGCAAGTGCATCCAGGAGCAGCAGCGTTTTGGCAGAAAAAATGCCAAATGTGTCTAAACGAGTGTTAATGATAGGCGCGTTTAGTGGTTGAGCGTTAATTAATATCCCAGAATAAATTATTATTTTGGCCAATTAAATGAATTAATGCCCAAGCGCTTGATGCCTCTAAACGTGCTTAAATGCTTGTAAAAGCATTAGACACTTTTACAAGCGTCAGGCATTTTTTTCTGCCAAAAAGCTGCTGCCAAGAGGAGCAACGTTTTTAAAACGTCCTGTGTGCATGAGGTATAATAGTTAGTGGGGTCAAATCAATCATCACTCTCAACAACAAGAAATTGAAGCAGCATGGAAAATTTTCCTCAAACAAACAGGATTCTTTGAATATGGCTTTCCTTCTGGAAAAAGTATACATATGGTAATGAAACATATTTAATACTCTGGGATTCCATTCAAATAGCAGGTCTGGATGAACTTTTAAGGGGTTTCTAACAACATTTTTTGATGCTAAAGCCCATTTGAGGGTTTTTTTCAACCTAAAAGAGGTTCATGGAGACTGATTCTGATTCATGCAGACCTTTCTGTGGTTAATTTTGGTCCTGCACTATGCTCTAGGACAGGGGTCTCCAAACTTTGAAAATAAAGAGCCAGTTTAGTTGCCATCAAACTGGAGGGGGCTGGAATGTGGCCAGTGGGAGTAGAAAATGCCCTGGCATTGGTGGGTGTAAGCTGGCCTGGTGGTCAGTGGGAGTAAAAAAAGATTACCCCATTGCTGGTATTGGTGGGAGGTATAGTGTCCCATTGCTGGTGTCAGTGGTAGGCATAGGGCCCATCATTGGTGTTGATGGGAGGTGTAGAGCCCCATTGTTAGTGTCATTAGGAAGTAAAGTGCCCCATCATTGGTGTCAGTTGGAGGTATGGTGCCCCATTGCTGGTGTCAGTGGGAGGTATAGTGCTTCATTGTTGGTGTCAGTGGGAGGAATAGTGTCCCATAATTGGTGCCAGTAGAAAAATGTGTTCCCCATCTCTAGTGTCAGTGGAAGGAATAATGTCCCATCATTGGGGTCAGTGGCAGGTATAATGCCTCGCATCAGTGGAAGGTATAGTGTCCCAAGGGACGGATAAAAGCAGGCAAAGGGCCACATTCAGCCAGCAGGCCACAGTTTGGAAACCCCTGCTCTAGGAGGTCCAGGACGTTGTTGTCCTCAAAGAGGTGTGATGTAGCAGATATACAGCTATGTGGCTCAAGGCACAGGAAGTGCCTATTTTTCAGGAGGAATTCCAGGCAAAAGGTAAATCTGTTGTGAAACTGCTTAGGTATAACTAGTATTTTTAGATGTTCCCTATAACACAACAAATCTCCATTTTAAATGTGAAACACAAAAAACAGAAGTATATTTGTACACCTTAGCTCACCTAAACCATGGAAATTCTTTTTCTTGATACAGTTGTAGCACTACCCCCTTAGGAGTCGCTATGTTTCGGGTCCCCCTAAAGCTCTGCACAGCCAAGCAACACACGTTTTCTTTCCTACTTTGCACACTGGAGACAGTAAACAGTCCTCAAGCATGGTTTTGGTATTTTATTAAGGGGTTAAAAACTTATGGATGGGGTCTAGGGGTATACAGAAGCCCAAGGAAACTGTAGACTCCAAGGAAACAATGTATAGACATGGACAAAATAGTCTCTCTTCTAAGAGCATTCCAGCTCTCTGGAGTACCTCCTCAGACCCCAGATCAATCCTCCTCTTAACCCAGCTGCACTGAGGGTATTCCCTGGGCAAGGGGACCCATAAACTACCACTTATCAAAACAGCCCTAGATGAGAAGTTAGTTGGGTTTTCCACCTGACTGCCCTCTCCCCTTATCCAGCCCAGGGGGTGTAGGATTACTCACTCTGTCTCTCCTGTGAGCTTGGTGGGTTGGTGGCTGCCTTCAAGCCTTATGTTGGCTGACTCCTTCCTGCTTCCCAGACTGTCCTCTCTCTGAGGACGATTAGGCAGAGGGATCTTCCTTTCAGCTCCTGCCTGTAGGTAGATCCCTCTCCTGGTCCCCCTCCCAGGCTCCACACTCCAACCGTCCCTCCATCTTCCACCCAACACACTACCTCTGCTGCACAGGCTCTGCCACTTTTGAGGGTTGCCCTGGACACCATGCCCAGCCTCCTGCAAGGGATTGGCCAGGGTTCCTCAAACTTGTAGATGTGAGCCTCCTCCACT